ATAGTTTTTTAATTTAGTTTTAAAAACGGAAAACGAAATTGACAAACCAAAATTTGGAACAACAATTTTGTTCCATAAATACGGTGCTCTATAGTTTATGCAAAATTGATTAAACTTTGTTTGACAAAAGGGTTCAATTAATAAATTATTATTTCGTAAAGCATACTTGTTTATAGCTTTATAAGTAAAAAGATCTTTGAAATTGGACAATGGTCGTTCACTTTTACAACGAAACATAAAACATAAAATATTATAGACATTGAGTTCGTAAACGTTAAGTGCTTTAACGTTTTCAAATAAAATATTTGAATGAGAAAAACGATTTTCGAAATTGTTCTATTGTTCTACATGTAACAAGGAATGTATCCATATCAAAACTTTTATTATTGGTTTTCAGGATACTGAATAATGAAGCTTCAAAGTTAAGTATGCCATCATAGACCCCTTTCCCTTTATGCTTCATTAAAACTGTGTTTTGCTGTCAGATTTTCTTTATGTTTTAAGCAAAACATTTACAATCTGATTTTTTATCTTTTTATTTGCAGTAATGAAAAAAGACAGAAGCGTTTTTCTTTCCCAAATTTGTCAACATCAAAAAAAGTACCATCAGTTCAAAACAATGAAATTATTTAATACAAAAAAGAGTTTACATTCAAAGCATGATAACTCTTAATCAATTGAAACCTTAAAAATTGAAAATCATATACTGCAATAAATTAAAAAATTGAAAATCATATACAGCACTAAAAAGAAACAATATAATCAAAACATCACAAAAACCTGTACCGCCGGAATAAAATAGGATCAGATCTTGTACCACGAGATATTTAGCCCAATCAACTAACATATTACATAACAATGAGGTAGTTAAAATAACTTTAAACCTGAATCTGATGAAATTCTATCAACAGTCATGGATTGCATTTGAACTGGTAATATTATAAGTTAAAAAGAACCCCGTAACAAATAGTTTTATAGTACAAATAAAAGTAAATAAAAAAACTGCTTTAGATATTTAGCAGCCTTTGCTATTACCAAACCACTAGGTTTAAAAGCTTTTCTAACTGCCTATTAATTCGATACTTCAATATTTTATGTGATCAATTTTATTCATAGTATATTCAGGCCATTCCAAGGATGGGGGAGGCGTAAGGTGGTGTCTAATCCCCTAAGAAAATTTTATTCAAAAATTAGTTGGCAAATTCTTTGGATCTTTAGTTGCCATTTGGCAAATTTCAGCCCACAATGGTTGTTTTTTTCGTTTGTCGGCAAAAATATTTCTAGGCCTAAGTCGGCGAAAAACAGATACGTGACCTCTTTCATCCGCTTCGAAACGACCCTAAATACTTCAGTAACGAAATAAAAGAAAGCCGCGTATTAGCGTACTTCATATTACCGATTTATTTATTAAATGCAAAACCATTTTGAAAAAAAAAAGTTAAATATTTATTAATATAAGTATTAAAAACACGATTTTAAACAAATTTATTTTTCTTACTACAAAAGCAAGATATCGTGAATAAGATTATATAAAAAATCGTTTACGCGTTTTTTACTTTTTAAATTTGAAATCAATAATAATTTTTGATTATTAACTCAGTAACACTCAAAGAGGTTTATTGCAAGTTAAAAAATAATATTGTTTTTAACATTTAGCAGAATTTAAAACATTACTAGTATTATTTAAAACATTACCAACATAGTTTTAAGTATACTAGTAGTTATAGTATACTTAAGACTATGTTGGTCAAAAATATTTTTTTTAGTACCTGGTGCTGGGTACTGAAAAGATATTTGATTCTTTACTTAGCTTATTCTTAACTTAAATTTGTTTAATTATGCTTTAAATAAAAATGTTCAATACTTTTTATGTACTCTTATCTAATATAACCTAACACCAACAGTAAATAAGTCAACGAAAATGAAACCTCATTATCATTATCTGATAATGTAATAACTAACAATTTTCATAACTGCTGTTTAGAAACGGGTATAATCAAAACTGACTTAACAGATTATATTCCAATATTTTTAATTACTGATAACATAACCCTAAATAATTCCCCCTTGAACTTTACGATCTTTTTACGCAACGGATTGGTTAAAACTTATTATTACTTACGAACTCTTTTATCAGAAAATATTTGTTGGAATCTTGTTTTACAATTCCGTGAAGTCAATCCTGCATATGCAGTGTTCCTGCATATGAACTATCCTTAGCGCATTTATATAAACAGTATGGCATAGCATTTCCTGTTAAAAAGTCTCATTAAACCCCTGTTAAAAAGTCTGTTTAAGTCTGTTCCTGTTAAAAAGTCTCATTAAACATAAAATAAAATCATCAAAGAAAAAACAAAAACTTTATGATAAATAAATAAGACATAAAACATATAAAAATGAAATATACTACAAAAACTATAAAAACTTATTTCAAAAAAAGTTATAAAAATACTCTAAAAAATGTTTTATGTAAAGTTGCTGGAATAAAACCAACGGCGACACAAAAAAAACGTGGAACATTATTAAGCAAATAATTAATAAAAGTATATGTGAAAGAAATAATCTCCCTCAAAAGCTTTGAATTGACAGGGAAATAATTTAAAATTAAAAAAAAAAGTAGGTGAAAAACTAAACTCATTTTTTCTTGAAGTAGGGCCAAACTTAGCAAGTAAATTTCTACCAAGTACAATAAAGTTTGAATCTTATATTAAACCGAGTAAATCTATTATAGAAGAATCTATTTTAAATCTAGGCGAGATAAGGAATACTTTTAACAGTCTAAAAATCAATAAAAGTGCGAAAGTTGACAAAATGAATGTTGAATGTTGCATGAATGTAGTTAAGTCAGTTTTCAATATTATTAAAACACCTAGTTTTAATTTATTAAAATAAATTAAAACTAGGTGTTGTGCCAAAAAACTTCAAGTTATCACGCCGATTTTTTATTCTGGAGACGAAACAAATGTATCAAATTACAGAACTATCTCTGTCTTATCTTAATTCTCAAAGTATTATGTACAACATACATTATAACTATTTAATGTTAAACAATTTACAAACATAAAAACTATTTAATGTTAAACAATTTATGCTGTACAATAAACAATTTGGTTTTAAGAAATAAAATTTTACTAATCATGCTGTAGTCGAACTGATTAATCATGATTCAGATGCATTCAATAATGGCTTTTTACACTTAAGGAGTTTTTATTGATCTGTCATAAGTCTTTGAAACTGTTAACCATTAGATACTTATAAAAAAACTAGAACTGCTTGGAGTAAAAAATAAAACTTACTTTGGTTTGAAGATTATATGGGGAACAGGTCACAATGTATTATATACAAAAAAATAAATAAAAAAAATAATTAAAAAATAAAAACATTGCGCGTTGTGTGCTCCAAGGTTCAATCTTAGGTCCATTATTATTTTTATTGTATGTAAATGATTTATTCTTAGCACCAAATATTTTAAACGTTATATTATTTTTAGACGACTCCAACTTTTTGTTCCAACAAAAACATAAAAGTTATTTTAATATATTTAAGAAAAAAATATTCAAAATAAACGATTTGTTTACAAGTAATATACTTTAGTTGAATGCAGAAAAAACTAAATTTATTTTATTTTAAGGGATAATGTTCCAATAAATTACTCAACCTCATAATGAATAAAACATTTTGAACCAATTGCTAATTTTTAAGGAGTAATACCAAAATGCTTAATGAAAATTTGTTATCAAAACCGCATATAAGATATATTGAAAATAAAAATTCAAGAAAAATTTCCACACTGTATAAAACTAAACCATTTCTTAACACTGCATTTTTGAAAGAAAAAAAAAATAATTAAAGTGTATACAAACTTAATAAACATCAAATTCTACAATTCATGTTTAAAACAAAACATGGACTTTCTTCTATTTTATCCAAGTCGTACATTAGTGAAGTTTTGCACATATATCCAACTCAATTTTCAATTAATAACTTTGTTGTTCAAAAAGCTAACTTAAAACTTAGTTTTTATCAAATCCAATTGGCCTTTTATACGGAAAGTTTACTTATCAAATCCAAACAACTATTAAAACATTTTTCAAAATTTATTACAAAAAAGAATGTTCAAAACTTATCTCTGGAACAGTTCAGGAAAGAATTTAGGAGTCTCTAATTATAAGAAGACTTTGATTTAAATATCTTTTTTAAAATAAATGCATAAATAATATAAGTTATCTAAAAAGCAGTTATTGAAAAACAAAATTCACCGGTTCCGGGTACTCGTGAAAACCACCGGATAAAAGGATTCCTGATCCGAGTTAAGCATGTCGCCGTAGTAATAAGCTAAGACAACACTTGTTTACTTTCTCAACCATTTTCAAATTGTAATTTTTCATTATTTAAATTTATTCGCAACAAAATATTTCTCAGATTGGTATGTAATGAATTTCATTTTAGTTTAGAAACTAAATAATTTTAACAATATTACTTGTGAGTTAATGATGTTAACAAGATCACTAAAAATTAAAAAAAAAAAAAAAAAAGTCTTTTTAAGGTTTTTTTTTATTTTATAAAATTTGAACAATTTAATAATTAAAAATGCACTATTTGCATCATCTGGTTCAACAGCAACAATAAATATGGCGTGTTTAACAAAAACATTTTACCTGGTTTTACACGACAATACATTTTTTTTACTAAATTTCAAATTTGTTGTTGAATATTAATCTTTATTTATATATGAATATATTTTTTTATTATTATTATTAGAGTATAATTTTATAATTTTTTTATTCGTTTAGAAATTAAAAAATATAATGAATTTTCATCATCGTTACCGCAATATTTAAACAACTAACAGATTTATACCATTTAAAAGCTTTATAGATTTAAAATATTAAATGCTCGTGGGATTTAATCTATTTAAGCGCCCTATAGATTATATACAGTTAACTAATAGATTAAAACAAAACAAAGCATGGAGGGGAAAAATTTTAAATAAACAAATATTAGCACATTAAACAAAAAATATTTAGCGCAACAAACTAAAATACAGTTGGTATTGTTGAGTGTGAGCTTTCAAATAATTAATCGTAGATAAGTTCAGCGTCTAATTGTTCGAACTACTTTTGAGACAACACAGATGCATCGAAACGCATTTACATAGTGTTTTAAGTTAAGTTCAAGACCCAATTCGTCAATCTGAAACAACTTTATAATGCTCTTGTTTTTATTATAGCGGTGATTACCTTTAATCATTACCTATAAGATAAAAAAAAGTTCTAAATTTAATGTTTGATCAAAATTTTCTCACTTGTAATTAATCTTTTGTTAATCAGTTGGATATGTTTACATTTTTATAAAATGACAGTTATTTGTACAACAACTTTAAAATGGATACGGATGTTCGGTCTTATATTTTTTTGTAACAGGAAATAAATTTTTACATATAACATCCTATTATGGCCAAAAAAAAAACAGGAAGTAAAAAATATTTTTTTAAGTTTAAGCACTTTTGAAAAATATTTTCAAAAAAAGAAAGATGGTTAGATATAAAAGTTATAGTGTTAGGATTGTTTTAATGCTGCTGACCTTGAACTTTAGCCACACAAAAAATAGTAGAAGTAATGAAATATCTAATTGCTTGTGATTATAATAATTTTGCAGTTTTAATTCCGTATCTCAAACCTAAAAATTTTCCTCCTTTAAGCCATCTAATATAAAAGGTTATAGTTTGAGTTATGGATGCCAAACTGTTTACTTGTATGAATCAAATGAAAAGAAGTAATAAAGTAAACAGTTAAGCAATGTTTGATGAATTAAAACTTTAAAAAAACTTTTTTACCTTTTGTAGCTAGGATTCAAGCAAACGGGAAAGTAACAATAAATGTTTATGGTGCGGTGAGTAAATCATATACCATATTCAATGTTCTGTATTTTTTATTTATTCAATTCAACTTTGTTTATAAAACTTTCTTAACATTTAAGATTCATAGCTATGTTAGAATAATAATAAATTTCACGTTCTTAAATAAATTTAAAATATTACTTACCTCTATAACTATTATATTGTTTATGGTTGTATTTTATACAATTATGTTATTTGTTATTTTATAAATAAAAAAGTTAACTATATAAAATAAAAAAATGATCAATTACATAACATTATTTGTAAGTATTAACAAATGTAAATACTTACAACCATAATATTGTAAATACTTATTTCTATTAAACACCGAGCATCAAATAAACAATAAGCTTTTGTGGTTTAACCACAAATATTTTAGTATAAATACAAAGTACTGAAATTACATTTCAATAATATGCATTAGTTGTTCAGACCAACAAAATTTTACTTTAGAGGTCGTCCATAAATTACGTTACGCAATTTTCGACCGTTTTTGACCTTCTCTCCCCCCTCTCCTCATTACAAAATTGTAACACTTTAGTAGCAAGTTTTGTATGAGCCGTCTCAAAACCAATTATTGCAACTAAAATGTCTTTCTTAGCTATTGTTTTTTTTTGATTTTAAATATGCACATTTTTCATCTGTAACATTTAGTATCAAAGTTATTCGGGTTTAAATTCATAATACTTTGGGTTAAAATCCATAAAATTGTAAAATGTTTGTTTTTTAACTATGTCAACCTGAATCGTTTTTTTCTGAAATTTTCAAAAATAACTTTTCTTTTTTAAGTAAACAACAATTTTATTTATTTGCAAAAAATATTTTTTTATATGCGAGGTCTGGTCTGAAAAATTTCTGACCTAAAAAAGATACAAGTCAAGTTTAATTGATACAAGCCTAATTTCTGACCTAAAAAAGATACAAGTCAAGTTTAATTGATACAAGTTTAAAAGATACAAGCCTCTTTAATTGATAATAACTTCTGTTTTCTGAGCGCAATTTTTAGATGAGGGAACAAAAGAAGTCGTGTAGGGCTAGATCTGGTTGTGTAAGGCAGATGGCCAAGCAGTTTAAACCATAAATAGTAGATTGTCTCCACGGCAACCACTGAAGAAAGAAATGCCTTGGAGAGACAAAACTTTTTTTTTCCTGCAAGTGTAGCCTTTTTCCCGCAATTTTTGCCTTCAGCTTGTCATGTGCAGTAAGCATCTATAATGGTTTTACCTTTTTGAAGATAATAGGTTAAAATAACTTTATTTCTATTTCAAAAAACTGTTGCCATCACTTTCCCAGCTGAAAAAACAGCAGCTGCTTTTTTTTGGAGCTGGTTCCTCCGGTGCAGTCTCTGTTTGGATTATATTTTTGTTTCAGGCGTATAATGGTGTATCCTAGTTTTATTTAGAGCAATTAATTGGCGTTAAAAATCAACTTAAATGCGCCTAAACCGCGTCAATAGAGCTTAGGGAATTTTAATTTGAGCACAATTTTGGTCTAACGTGAAAAAATGTGGTACACAAGGCGTTTACAAGTTTCTCGTGTCTGAATGTTGATTTAATATGGAACAAACTTGTTCTTTTGCCATGTTTATAATCTCTGCTATCTCTCTCACATTTGGAGGTCGTCCAATACTATTTGATAATCTTTTGCAATTTTTTTTGTTTGTAGTTGCAATTTTGGAAGGTTCATCGTTCCCCAAACTATTTCGGCCACGTTTGAATTCAGTTGCCTGAAATTTCACTATGGTAAATAATGGTACTGAATTACAATACACAGAATTCAAATCATCTTTGATTTACGTAGACAATTTGTCTTTTTAAAAACAATGACTAATATTGTTTATTTAGCCAGAGCCGGCTGCATACTTAAAAAATATTGTTTGTTTGGAAAGAAGTGTTGAAGAAATAAAATTTTGTTGGTCTTTAAATTATTACTACAGATATATATATATATATATATATATATATATATATTCTACTTTTAGAAAAATAACGATCTTCAGCTGAAAAAAAATAACCTATTGCAAAATTATGCATATTACACTCCCGTGAAAGATCGAACTCGGGTGTGGCAAACTGGAAATAAAAGTAATAAGGTTTTTCAATATAAAGACAAAAATTTATACAATGATCAAAGTTGGAACACTAATAGTAATGACTTACTACTTTCAAACGGACTACAAGCTGAGATCGGTACTCAAGAAAATTCTAATTTTGACAAAATAAATTTAAACCCAAATTTTATGCCACAAGACGATGGAATTGATAAATTATCTGATACGTGGCCCAACAGCCTAGATTGGCAGGATGACCAACATAGATTTAGAAATGCTCAAAGAAAAAAAATATACGCGCAAAATCAAATTCAAAAAAGTTTGCTTGGTGAACTGCTAGAGCCTTTAAATCCAGGTATTTGAATATGATTTTTCATTTATATTATTTTTAACAAAACAAAAATTGCGATTGTTTTTTTCAAAACATTCACATACATACAGTGATGAAAATGCCATCAATAATTGTTGACTATCTGTGCAATGTTGCAGATTGACTTAAACCAACAAAAAAAAACCGGTAAAAAAAACTTGTTTATAATGAAGAGTTCACTTTTTAATAATATTAAAATAAATTTTTTTTTGCGCTGCCTTACAACAATATATATCTTTTTATCACTTTTTAATAATATTAAAACAAAATTTTTTTTTGCGCTGCATCACAACAATGTATATCTTTTTATCAGTTAAACAACAATGCTGCAACTACCTTGCAATATTAAAGAAAAACAAAATTTCTTTGCTATTTTATCATGTTTATCAAAAAAATTGTAAATGGCGGGAAACTTTAAAATTGTAATAAATTTCGTTTAACTTGTTTAAATATATCAAACAAAACTAAATGTTCTTAAATAAGCTGACCAACGTACTCCTTTTTATGTAGAAGAGCGCAGCGCCAAACCTAATTAAAAGTTAGATTTTTACGGCGCTCTCCTACATAAAAAGGAGTACGTTGGTCAGCTTATCTAAAAGTAGTTATAATATAAAACTCTAAGAAATATAAGTATAAAATGAGTAGATGAATTTTTTTTTGCCGTGTAATAAACATCTATAAGATATCAACAATATATACTGATAGCCAGTATATATTGTTGATATCTTAAGACAAGAAGAAGACTTAGTCTTATCGCTAAGCCCGTTGGTAAATTTCATAACGTAAGCATTTTTAAAAAATTTTGTTTACTGTATATAAACTAAAATAAATAAAAAAATCAAAATATTGTATGTGATGTTAAAGTTAACATTTGTATGTTGTGTTAAAGTTAACATTTGTATGTGATGTTAAAGTTAACATTTGTATCCCAACAAGCACAATCAACTTTAAAACAACTTTGAAAAACCATTGATATTTATGGTTGAAAAATGGTTTATTTTTGGTTGAAATGGAAACGCAAATCAAGGATGAAAAAAAACCCCGTTAGATCAACGTTGAAAATAAACCAAAAATCAACTCATCAAAAATCAACTTATATACGAGTTTATAAACTCAAAAAATACAGCTTTTTGCGCCGTGACTCTTTTAATTCGAAAAAACATTTATTTTTTGTACAATATTGTGTTGTTATGAGTAAGAAAAGAAACAATAATTCTTCACAAACTTATAATAGCTGTCATAGTACAATATCTTATGCTAATGTACTGCACACCTTGCTCTGAATTTTTACAGTTTTTACTTATTATTATTGTAGTTTTATTAGTTTATTTTATATTATAATACTAACTGTTGTTATAGTATTACAAATAATCTGCCCTGCACCATTTTTTTAACACAGGTTTATAGAAATTTATAGAAATTAATAAGCAATTATTAAAAGCAAATAAAACCAAAAAAATAATTTATACATTTTTAGAACAAAAACTTTTACAAAATTAAAGTTATTTTCAACACGATCTTGATAAAATCATGATGTTATCTTCATCACCAATATTAAATTCATATGTATTTTTATCGCCTTCTGTCATCAGACTCATTTTGAATTGATGCATTTTCCACAATCCAATCAAACAGTCTAAATTCTATTTTTGTGCATTGTGTCTTTTTATTTAAGAACATCAGATGATTGCATCTAAATAAAAATATCTTTAAAGTAAGGTACATTTGTATATTTTACAAGTATTATCATACTTCACATTGTTCACAAACGAATGTGAACATTAAGTGATCAATAGTAGAAAAAAAAACCCCATTAATGATCCGTGCTTAATTTACTTCATTATTGACCAAGATATTAACCTATTTGGATAAAGATACATTACACATCAACATCATACATCAACGCATATACACACATAAGACAAACCTTTTAGACAGTTATAGATTGCTTAAGTCAAACATTCGTTTAGTAGAACCATTTTCCTTGGTCCCCTGGAGGGTCAAGATATTTGTAATTAACTATATTTATATATACATATTTGTACATAATTATACACATATATGTATGTATACATACATACAGTTCTCCAAGTGGAAAAAAAAAGTAACGGGATGGTATTCGGTAAATTAAAAATACCATCCTGTCTAAACATTGTTATATAAAGAGATTTACCAAAAAGTCGCTTGATGGTTTATACTTTATAAAAAGGTGACAGGATGGCATCCCCACCTTCACTATATATATATATATATATATATATATATATATATATATATATATATATATATATATATATATATATATATATATATATATATATATATATATATATATATATATATATATATATATATATATATATATATATATATATATATATATATATATATATCATATATATATATATATATATATATATATATATATATATATATATATATATATATATATATATGTATATATATATATATATATATATATATATATATATATATATATATATATATATATATATATCGGTAGGAGCAACGCAAAGAAATATAATATACATACCATAACACCTTAAAATATTTAAAATCCATTCTCTTTTTTTTGTTTTAGATCAGGTCAAGTTAAACTTTGTTTTTAATCTATTTGCCATCTACCTGCGAAGTCAAAATATATTTAATCAAAAAAAAAAAACACAGTAAAAATACAATCAAATCACAAATCAATTAAATTAATGGAATACTCAAATCACAAATTAACAAAATGTGATAAACAAAATCTTATTTAAGATCTGAAAAACCAGACATAAATACGACTGAGAGGTTAGAGTTAGTAGACAAATCAACCTAATCTAAAAAGCTAGTCTATAAAAATGTGATTTGATACTCAACGGATATATGGAAATATTAAAAAAAAAAAAGAAAAATAAAAGTAACGGAAAAAGCAGTTTATAAACAGCTTTTTCTCTAATTTTCTTTCTTCTTTTTTATAAATATTTTGCTGTTTTGAATTCTGTTTATAAAAAATCTTAGCTCTAATTTGAGCATGCTGATAGCAAATTTTTTCTTTTTTTATAAGTGCTATTTTTTTATAAATGCTATAAATAATAATAATATAATAACTAATAGAATTTCTAGTAGTTATTTACTATTTTCTTATTTATAGCATTTATAAAAATGTTTGCACTTATAAAAAAAGAAATTTTTTTTTTTAACATTCCATGCAAAGTTTATCATACTTTCAGAAAATATGCACATTTAGCATAAAATATTTATTAATATTACCTTACTTAAACTTTTTTATTGCTCAGTTGTATTGTTTTGCTAACAATTTCTATTTATCGGAAAACTTTGGTTATTGTTTACATTAATTTTATTCTTTTTTTGTAACTTCAAAACATGATACCTCGATTTTTAACTGAAATTTTTAGTGTATGTTCCTTAATCATTAAAATTCAGATGTACTAAAAAGATCAACTTAGAATAGTTTTATCAATTTTTATAACACAACACCTGTTTATTTTATGTATAAATTTGTGATTTTTTTAAGTTTTGTTTCCTGTTTTTGATATTTTAATTTTTTTGTTATTCTTTTAGTAGAAATGAATGATATTAATGTAATGAAGCTATAAACAAAAAACTATTGAGTTTAAAAAAATAATAATCAAGAAACATTGTTTTAAATTTTTTCAAATTTACCATTTTTATCTGTGATTTTGTTGAAAGTTGCTTTAAATATAATTTATTTACAGTTTTTTTTAATGAAATTTAAGTTTCATATATCATAAAAAATACAATAAAATATTTATGAACCATTGCAATTTCTTTTATTAAATTTTTTTTTTTCTTTTTATCGGAAACGTTGAGTAATCTAGTTTTTCTACGATATTTTCGGCATTATGTGCATCAGGAAATGGATCAAGTTTAACAAGAAGTTGTTTAAGCTAAAAACATTTTGTAATTAAATGAAGAGTGAGAGGTTAGAAAGCAAGGTTATTACAAGAAGTCCAGATATCAGTATTTAATGCACAACCATCAAACCTTCTCATTGTCAATAGTTTTTTTCAAATGATCACTGATGAATTTATATAATTTAGGAATACTGTCCTGAAAAAATGATTTTGATGAACTATGGTTATACTTCCCCTTCATTGCTTGCTTCATTATTTTATGAAAATATTTACTATCCACTATCCTAAAAGATAATTGATCGCGGACGATCCACTTAGTCAATGATGTAACTATATTTTCATTTTCTATATGGTTAATGGGCGATGGAGTAACAACACGAGAAGTTTTAGGCGCTTTAGCAGTTCTCAATTTACCAGACGATGTTAAAATTGAGAGTATGACTTAGGAGTGAGAGCAAGATTAATTCGTTTGGGAGTACTGATAAAATCGCTTTCTAAGGGGTTGTTAATGTCAATAACTCGAAAGTTATTCCGAATATATTCCGAATATATTCCGAATATCATATTCCGAAAAAAATTGACTGTGTTGCCCTTTTAGATGATTAATACGACCTGAAATAGTAGTATGGCTTTAGGAACAAGTTCTTTTTTTTAACATAATAAAATTTATCTTGGGTAGTATCAGTCGTTTCAAAGAAATCGCATAAGTCAAGCTCTCAACATGCCTTTTGTACAAACTACTTCATTGTTGGAAATAAAACGAGAATTCCTGTTTGTAAGAATAATTTTATTGCCATTACTAAAGTAGGAAGGACAAAATTGGCCAATATTGTTTCCAAAATCCATGCTGGAGATCCTATTGAGGATAGAAGAGGAGGTGATAGGAAAAGTAGCCACAGCATTGATAAAAAGAACAAAGTGAGAGATTTCATTTCTAATTTAAAGGCATCAGAAAGTCACTATGGGAGAAAAAAATCTAGACGTTTGTATTTGAACTGTAAATTGAATATAAGAAAGCTGCACCAAATTTATTGTGACCAAATAAAGGATGATTTGTACAGAGTGAGTTTTGCCATGTTCAGGAGA